GAAGTCCATTTTACATGCAGTTCAACCAGTTTCTACTATGAAAATTACAGTTGGCCTGCTAATGGCAGCATGATGTTTAGGAACATGCTGCCACCCTCTTACTTCAGTTAGAGTGCAGAGCATATGTCATCACCCTTTTGTAGACTTTAATTCAAAATTAAAATGAACCTTATTATTATTGACTTGTATGAAAAACTTAGTTATCAAATATAAATAATAAATCATATTTTTTATGTTATATAAATTTTAATGCCTTAATTTTCTAAGAAAATGTTTAAATAAAATCTTCAACTTGCAGGATATGACAATCGTAATGTAAGTTTTCTATATCTTTTGATCTTTTGTCTTTGATAACTTATAACTTTTTTTTGAATTTCATAGTCTAACATAAATTGATAACACTGTACTATGGATATTCCAATGAGAAGTATAATTTTCCCACCTCAAACATTCTTTATGTCAGAATTATCCAGTTAATTATTTTGATGTTTTACTTAATCTAATTTATATCCAATAGAATTACAAAGTTTTTATATATGAATGGTGTATAAATTTGTGTTGTTTTTTTTTGCTATGGTTTAAAAAGTCAGTTTGAAAATTTCTGTGGAGCTGTTCAGATGGAGTATCTAATGAATTTTTAAGATGCTTATGTAATAGTTAGAAAGCTAGTTAAATTTTAATAGTTATCAGATATCATTGTCATGTTGCTTGTTATTATTCTGTATTCTTAGGTGCATTTTTAAATAAATATAAAATATTTGGGTTACCAGAAGCATGATTGTAAAAGTTTCTTAAATTTCACCGAGGACTGACACCGAATGTGTGAAAGCATGTGCACAAGCCCATTAATTATGTAATTATGTACAGCAGATTGGGCTGAGCACTCTTCGAGTGTTGTAGTTATACAGGGTTCAAAAGGGCAATAAAACAATTAAATTAAGCAGAAAAAAAATATAAAGTGTTACAAGCCATAAACTATTCAGAATAAACGAATGTAGAGTTGAGTTACAATCTGCAGTCATTCTAGAAAGAAAAAATGGTAATTAAGGTTATTTCATATTTTTCATGGTGGTTACAAGGTCGATAAAATCTCAAAGGGAACATTTTATGACAAAATCAAGTAACAGAGAACTCGGGAAACTTAATTCTATGGCTCTTATATGACTCATAATGACATATAACTTTAAATTGGACAACTATGACACTTAGTTTACAATTTGATGATTTACCCTAATATTCTATATTCATATCAATCAAAAGCAAGTTTGTACAACTAAGAAAGTATGATGATGTGGGTTTGACTACTTTACTTGGATCTGGAATGGACAGCTGTATTGTGACCACTGCATTAGAGGGTTATTCGAATTGAAAACTCAGCTAACCCTTCATTGGGTTACACACAATAAATTATCAAATGTGTTGAAAAATCTCACAATTCAGGGATACAACATCAAAATTCTTCATGGTCAATATTTGATAATTACGTATGTAATCGACAAGTGTTTCTCTGAGGTTGGGGAAGTTGGTATATGGGTTGAATTCAATGACATAATATTGTAATAGCGTAGTGTGGTAGACATAGTATTTTGTCATACACTGCACCTTTGTCTTCTGACTAATGTCAGCTATGGCAGTGAATATTTTAACAAATGATGATTTTTATAATATTTATATTTATTACTTATATTATCTCTCTCCTATTTATTCAATTACTTCAGTGTTTATTTAATCTCCCCTTCTTTATCCTTGCTTGCTCGGGGCCTAAACTTTAGAGTGCACATTGTTCTTTAAATTAAGTTAAAGATTTGATTTATGTGTATTTGTTGGTAAGTTACAAGTTTCACAAGTTATATTTATGCAACATCAGTGATTTCCTAGAGTATTCAACAACAGCTATATGTTCATTTGATTCAAAAATATTTTTGCAACAAAAGAAAAACTTCCATCACTGAAGAAATTTCATTACCCCAGTGATGAATGTACCTGATGATGAAAAAACTGGTACAATTCATCAGTTTCTGCCACCATAAACTAGACCTCAATGTGGAATGGGAATGGAACTCTTTTCATTTTCATATTGCAAAGTACTTGTGGTGGTAAAAGAGGAACAGTCAAGAGGTAGACTGGAAAAAGGAACTTGAAGCACTACATTGACAGCCATATATTACCCCCTCAGGATATGTTTTCAGTAAGGCACAAAAAACAGCACATAACAACTGAAAGAATTTGTGATTATACCTTTCTTAAGGAGGGAGAATACATTTTCATGTAGGTATTTTCTGGTAAATATTTCTAATTTTCTGTATTGCTGTATTACATTTAGTTAATGGCATCTTTGTAAACCAGATGTATAGAGGTCTTAAAACTGTGCTAATTTTTTATTCTACACAAAAGCTGCAAACTACATTGATTATTATGTAAGTTTTATTAATTGCTTGACCCTGTTTGTATTATGGCTTCCTGGAATGAGGTAATACTCCTTTTGTGTTATAGAGACACATACAAGATAGTACGAGTTGGGCATTTGTCTCACTTGATTATATGGATAATGGGAATGATCAGTGACATAGGTAATCTAGAATTGTGTGCTATAATGCTCTGGAATTTGTGTTTGACTTGAAGTGTAGTATTGTGATTATGATTCTTGTTCCTGCTTCATCTGACATTAATTGTGCTTGCTTTAAACCTGTTCCAGCAGTCAACTCCATTTGCACCATAAATAAAGAAGTTGACTTAATTGGTAAAGCCTAGTCATACAGTGCTGTTGTATGAATAAAGGTTTTAATATTATTTGTACACTTGTATTTTGCTTCTTTTTCCATTGATGCCTGTTTTCAAAGTTATTCGGTGTATTACATTTACAGAACTTGCTATATTGCAGATATTTGTAAGTTTGGAAAGGACAACATTGTACTTGAATGCTACAAGTATAACTGCTAAAACCCTATAGCAAAAGTCCAAGTCACTTTTGTCTATAAAGGACACAAAATGTATTAACAGAATAATATCCATTTCTCAGATTCAGATACAAGTCTGTTTCTATCTGCCTGTGCATTAGAATCTGTAAGAATCTCCTTTGATAGCTCAGATAATGCCAAACTTAAGAAGAAAAACTATATTTTACACGGGAAAAAATGTTTAATTTTAAGCTGCAGCATAGTGGCTCATAGAATGGCTGAATTTTTTCTCAAGTACAAACATATAGCTCATAGCTTTGTCATCTCTTGACCAATTTGAGATCTAATTACAGTTTTGGACTCGGGTTAAACCCTTCCAATTGATGTATTTGGCCACAACCAAGGTACAAGATTAATTGACTCTAATCCCGCCTAAAAGAATTTCAATTTGAGGGTAGGCTGGTAGAGCTCTTGGTGAGTAATAAAATTGAATCGGGTATATGTGCACCCCACGCTTGATATTGCTGGTGCACCAAAATATAGCTAATAAAAAGGATAAGGTCTCATAGATTAATTTTATCTAATCCTGCCTAAAAGAATTTCAAGTGCTGTGGCTATTGAGGATTCCCTCTTGTTTTCATCCATGCAAGTACATATTTATTTGGAATGATTGAAAACCTTTCTGAAAAATTTGGGCACTGTTACAACAATTTATGAACCCAGAAAAGAAAGTCAAGACAATACCACTGGCTAGAGAAGGATGACAAGTGTTGAATCTCCACTGAGAACAAGTATGTAGTGTTCAGTGTCTGAGCATATCTTCATCTTTTATAAGAGGGTAGAAGTTCTTAGATTAAAATCTAAGCAAGTGTAATAGACTGTGGAGCAAGATAAGGTATTATTGACTGGTGTAACTCTTATCTTGAAGAAAATTACCCAGATTGTTATAAAGCAGTGATTTCCAACCTAGAGGATGCATCCCAAAGAGAGGTGCCAAAAATGACAAGAGGGATCCACCAGGCTTGGTTAAGTGATTTTAGTCAGTGCAATTTTTGGCTTGAACCACTGCCTGGAATAGAGTTCCTCATCAGTAATTCATGTAACATCTATGTTCACTTCTATACTGTGGTGTATACTGTAGGTATGGATATGTGTGTGTGTGTATTATGTAATGGAATGCAAGTAGTATACAATGTTCATATTGGTGAGAGGGGGGGCATCTTCAGGTCAGAATGACTGGGAACCATTGACATAACATATTTGGTTTAGTTATTTACAGGTTGTGTTGTCTGAGTATTAATCAAATTTCTCTGGAATGGAAAGAGTAGATTAGGTTTTATATAAATGTATTTTGACAACAAATGAAGAATATTACCTTCATATAATTTTGTGTATAAAAGAAGAAACTGATATTTTTAACAAAATATTTTTTATTTTTGAGGTTTCTCCTTAAGGTTAAAGAATAAGCTTTGCTTGTTTTTCAAATGCATTTTATCTACTATTTTTTCAAATTGTATGCATTTTCTAATAAAATGACACTAAACACAAGTTTCTAGCACAAATAATTTTGATGTCAGATTGTCAGAGGGTCTCCATTTGACCAGATATTGTGGTATTTATGCCTTTTGATTAATTAACAGGTTTTTTCTAAAAGTATTTTTTTTTTATTGTCTGAGCAATGCCATATATTGTTTGGTGTAAATAGAGGTTTCAGGGCATTCTCATTTGCATAAAAATGAACTTAAAAAGAGTGAAAAAATATTTTATTTTGTCTTAGCTAGTATTATAAATTCCATTTATAATTTAATTTTGTACAATGAATATAGAGACCTGTATGAATGAACTACTGAATAATTAAATATTTCACTTTGTGAATTATTCACACATTCCTGTATTCATGTAATGGTACATTACATGGTGTACTAAGGAAATAAATTATTTTTTCTTTAGTACGTTTCAGTGCATGAATAAAGTGTATATAATCACAAGTTAAAAGTACCCAATCACATGCTCTAGATTTTTTTGTTCCTAATTAATGTGATTTATTTTGCACTGATAAAAAATTGCAAAATTTTACCCACAAAGCTATTTCTATCCCTACAGATCAAGATACAGAACATTGTTGATTATGGTTGGGAATATCGTTATTTTTGGGGGAAACTAGTTGCATGCCATAATTCTTCCAAGTATTTGGCATATGTCATCAAAGGTAAGAATCATAAAGGTGAAGTGTGATTTTAAATAATAAGATTTACCACATTTTCATGAGCTGTTGAAAGTTTATTTCAGTTGAATTTTAAATTAAACTGAAGTAATGGAACCTCAACATAATTATTATAAAAGTGTATTAAATATATAATGATTTATTGATGGAATAAATATTAGCTATTATATGTTTAACCCTCTCGCTTATGGGTAGGTCAAGGTGCACATGTCATGACCTTTTACAAAGTTACATTCACAGTTTAATTAAACTATTTTGTTATCAATGTATATGAATAAACTTGACATTAAACTACATCAAAACATAATAAATAAATCAAATTTTAATATTATATAAATTTTAATTTCTTAGTTTTATAAGGAAGTGTTTAAATAAATCTTCAATCTCCCATTATATGAGAATTGTAACATTTGTTCTCTAGGTCTTCCCTCTTCTCTAGTTTATTTAAAATCCGTCTCTAAAATATGGAATTTAGTGTAATTTATTCATTATAATATAGATATTACAAGACAGTCTAATTTTTATAGCTTTCAATCTTATTTATTGACAAGAATTTTGTAACATTATATATTATTTATAACCAATAGAAAGGCAAAGTTTTAATATATTAAATGATGGTGTGTTGTTTTCTGTACAGAGTATTGCCTATTTCTTGAGATTGTAAGTTTATTTTGTGGTGTTCTGATCGAGTAGCTAAGGGAATTATTTGAAGCCTGTCTTGACTTAGTTAGAAAGCCAATTAAGTTATAATAGTTATAGGATATTGTTTGCTTTGTGCATGTGTTATTTTGTGTCCCTAGGTGACTTATTGAAATAAATAAAAACTATTTAGTGTATTATTACCATAACTATAAAAAAGTGGGCTTAAATTTCATTGGCAATCAACAGCAAAATACTAGGTCAAATGTAAATATTATTTATTTTTTATGTATATTTCTTATTTATTGCCATAAAAGTAACTAAAATGTAAAATTTAGAAACCTGGTATGTTGCATATGGTTAAAATAGGTAAGATAATGATAAATAATAATAAAAATTATTCACAAAAAAAAATGGTCATGAGTAGCTCATGAGTTATGTCATTCATTACGGTAACATGAGCTACGTATTTCCTGAGTGATTTACAACTTCTATGGCAGGATTATTAGCTAGACATAGTTAAATGTCAATGAAGTTAAGTAGAAATTGATGTATGCTGTTACAAGTCATAAACTGTTTAGGATAAATGCTGTAGTTTCTTGTTACAAGCTGCAATCATTCTAGAAAGAAAAAAGGGTAACTTAGATTTATTTCTTATTTTATGGTGGTTACAGTGTTGGTCGAATCAACTGAGTCTGTACAGAATTAGTAGAGAAAATGATAGATAAAATATAAAGTTTTAAGAAAAAAAATGTTTGATAATTATTGAGGAGGTTTTAGAGGTCTTATAAATGAAATGTGAAAATTTTCAGATGAAGAAAAATATTCTTAATCTTAGCATGAAAATCTCCCTGTAGTGAAGCAACAATACATACCCTTACTCAATATATTGACAGAAAAAATATTTAGTATACAAACACTTGATGTTTGCTAAAAGCTTGCGAAATTTCATTAAGATACACATACTATATTTAACCCTATTGCAACAGGCTCGTGTATTTTACATAACATTGTAACCACCATATCTTGAAAGTACTGAATGTATCTCCAAAACTTTGACAATCTTTCAATAAGTGTTAAAAATCTTTTGTAGACAAAAAATCAGAAATTTGATTTAAGTATTTTTAATAAAACTTTGTCCGTAATTATATTGAGTCAAAGTGATAATCACGATAAGATTAAAAATATTTTCTTCATCTGAAAGCTATCAAATTGCCTTTGCTTAATTGTTGAAACCTAAGTAATTATCAAAGGATTTTTTCATAAAAACTTTATGTTTATCTGTAATATTTTGTACTATGCTATACAGAGTCTGTCAATTTAACCAATTTCATAACCACCATAAACAATTTAGAAATAATTCTAAGTTACCCTTATATTTTTTTAAATTAGTGCAAATTGTAACAGGAAACTACAATTGTTTATATTAAATAGCTTAAAGTTTGTAACAGTATAGCTCTATTTATAGTTAATTTTGTTTTTGCCCTTTGAACATTGTCTAACTAATAATCCTGCCACACAAGTTGTAAATCACTTGATGAACATGCAACTCACATTACCATATTGAATTACATCAGGTACGAGCTGATCACAAGCTTATCTCTTGAAGAATTTTTATTATCATTATTTTTCATTATCTTGCCTGTTCTAACCATATCTAACTTTAGAAGTTTCTAATTTTTACATTTTAGCTACATTTATGATAATAAATAAAGAATATACATGGAAAACAAGAAATATAGTACTTACCTGGGTCTTCTTATATTTTGCACTCATTTGTCTATGAAACTTAAGCCTACTTTGTATACTGATGGTACTACTACAATAAATAATTTTTTTACTTAATTAACTTTTCATGATGGGCTTGGTCAATTTGACCTAAAAATTGATCCCAAATTGACCTTAAGAATTCCCATACAATAATTCTAATATGTTTTGTGTATCTTCATGAAATTTTGCAAGCTTTCAGTAAGCATTAAAAGTCATTTGAAAACAATAAATTTGAATTTTTAATGAAGTATTTTCAATGAAAATTTCTCTGTGATTATATGGAGTCAAAGTGTTGACTGCTCCGAGTGCAAAGTGATTTTCAAGTTAAGACTAAAAATACTTTCTTCATCTGAAAAATCTCAAATTTTATTTGTGTAATCTCTAGTAAAATTTTGTTTTATCTGTTATTTTTCTACCCTAATTATTTAAGGTTGATCAATTTGACTGAATTTTTAACCACCAAAAACAATTTAAATATACCTAAATTACCCTTTTTTCTTTCTAGAATGATTTCAAATTTTAATGTGAAACTACATTTGTTTATCCTAAATAACTTTAACCTTGGAACAGTATACATCTTTTTTCTACTTAAAGTTTATGGTTTTACTGCCATTTCAACTATGTCTAACTAATATTCCCACTACACAAGTTGTAAATCAGTTGTTAAATGTATAATTCACATTACCCTATCAAATAACCTAATGCATGGTCTACCTTGGTTTACCTTGTGAAATTTTTTAATTATTACTTATTATTCTTTATTTCTTCTAATCTAACCTAAAAAGTTTTAAATTTTTACATTTTAGTTTATAATAATAAATATAGAATACATGTGAGAAACAAGAAATGTAGTTCTTACCTTGATCCTTTTTTTGTTTGCTGTCACTTGTCAATGAAACTTAACCATACTTTTTTATATTAATGGTACTTCTGCACTAAATAATTTTGTATTTAATTTAATAATGCAAAAAAGAACACTGAATAATAACATGTAAAAAGTAGACAATGTTTCATAACTATCATAATTTTTCTGGCTTTCTAACTATGTAATAAAAGCCTTGAAAAATTCAGCTAAGGTTGTTGATGCATTTCTCATGGGAATAAACTTTGAATTGGAAGCAAAACAGATTAAAACGTAGGCTTTCTATCATGTATACATACGATGTTATAGAACATCAGAAAAAGCTATTGGCAATTTGTGATAGAGGAATATGATAGGTGGGTGTGGCAAGTGGGTCAGATGTTCTAGTTTATGGCTCTTTAAAAAAAATAATATTGAAGGATGTAAATATTATGCTTTGTCTGAGTAATATCTATATATTCTAAAAAGTAATTTATGTTAAATTCAGTACTTATTGGAATGGTAGTAAATAAACTACAGAAGAGGGAAGACCTTGTGTGCAAATATAGCTATTATCATACCAGGGAAGATTGAGGATTTTAAAAAATATTTCCTTATAAAATTAAAATCTTAAAACTTAAATAATATTAAAACTTGACTTATTCACTGTGTTTTGATGCCAATTTTATTTATATACATTGATAATAAGTAGTTTAATTAAATTTTGATTGGAACTCTGTAAAAGGTTGTGACGTGTGCACTTTGACCTAACCGACATGAAGAGGTTAAAAGTTATATTATGGATACTGTCATGATTAGTTGGTGGTTACAAGGTTGGAGAGTATCCACCAATCCCATATGGAAAGATTTAATGTACTTCTGAACTTTGTTTCATATTGGTATTACCTACTTGCAGGATTTAACACGCATCTAATTATTAAAATACATTTTTGAAAAATGGGCTATAGAGTAAAGATGATTTATAGAAAATCTGTTTTAGTGCTTTGAAGTGGAAAAACTAAGAACTTATTAATTTATCAGTATCTCATTATGTTACTTGTGTATCTTGTGATTTCATGGCTTATACTAAAAGTGAAAAAAATTCTATAGCCTGTACTCATATGAAAGTTTGTACTAAGGTAGTTTTATCATCTTTATACAAATAGGAAGCATTAGAGCATTTTACATAGTTTACCATAAATACTTTTGGCTATTTTGTTGCCAAGTAATTTCAAACACATACTGATACTTTGCTATTGAGATTTATAGTAATTTCTATGCTATGCAATGGATATTTGCTGAAATACATCAAGAATGTTTGGATTATCAGATGTATCTTTTCTTCTTGAAATGTATCAGTTTTCATGTTTGTAGTGCATACTTGAGTTTTAATATAATATTGTTAAAAACAATCAACCAATAGCTCCGAGAAGCTAGGTTAAATTTTATTATTACAAGTTATACCTTTTATGGTAAGGAAGAATATTTTCTAAAACGGGTAGGACATTTCAATCACTGGTGCAATCATTCTCAGTAATTGAAATGTTGTATTTATTTAAAAAATATTCTTCCTTACTGTAAAAGATGTAACTTGTAATAACAAGAAAGCTTACGATTTTTAAGTGAACTCAAAACAAAACCATTAAATTTTTTAATGTTCAAGATGTCAGCTTGCACCTTTGTCATGACATCATAGTATATATATACACAAAAAAATGTTAATAAAACAAGTCTTTGATAAAAACGTTTTTTTACTATTGCAACATTTCGGGCAAAAGCCCTTTGTCAGGCAGTATAAACCATGTTACATTGAAGAATGGCTACTAACCTTTCAACAATTTGAACTTTTCGTAGAAATCATTAGAATAGTCCTATTTTTCTTTTATGTGTAATTTCATTTCTTTAACTTTTCACATATAGTTTATTATTAATTTTCCTTTCAAATTCTTCATATTTTGTCATTTATGTCAATACATCAACTGATGATTGTGGGGCTTTATGAAATTATTACGGCAGACTCCCTGCAAAGACATGTTGCCTAAACAACATGGTGCTTATACATGCCATCTTGTTTATTATCTTTCAAAATCCAGTTGACAAGTTCAACTTATAAAATAATGAAATTGTTCAAATATGATTTTTAAAACACATATAATACATAATTAACTAAAATATAAAAGTAAGTCCTAAATAAAATGTAATTGTTTCTCTAACTATAGCGTATTTAGGTAAGAAACCACTACAAGTGCTACAGTCAATCAAGTAGAAAACTATACTAACAGCAGTTACAAATACTTCAAGAAGAAAACTGCATGCCAATTTCAAATTAATCATTGGTGGAGTATAGTGTAAACTGAGCTATTTCTAACGACTATATACACTTGTGTCAACTAACTACATGTATGTTTTAGATCTCAAGGCAAAGTATAGACAGTGGGCGTGGCACTTGTCAAGGGTTGGAAAATTTATATCTGTTTCCCAGAAAAAAGCAACTGCAAATTTTGGATAACACATGTCACATAATTTAAACACACATACATTAGCACCTACATACTCATGTACATTGCCAGCTTATGTGGGTAAGAGTGAACTGCTGCTGGAGTTGAGATTTTTCATAGTGAGTGGATCATGTGACATGAAAACTGCAGTTTTTAAATGTTTTCTTCAAAATAAAGTAATTAAAACTTGGATAACATAAAAATTCAAGTTATAACACACATTATAATATTAATTTTATTGATATATATGAATAGTAAAGTGGCTTAATCAAATTTTGAATGTAACGCAGCACCATATGCAGAAAGAAATTTAAAAACATCATTTGGAACATCAAAATATTTTTCATGGGCACTTGTGTATGAGTTAAAAAACTACTGTATGCTAAAGTTTTATTTTTTATATGTATATATTCCAATTTTGTTTCATAGTCATCTTCAGACATGAACATGTAGTTAGTGAATTGTCATTTCTGAAGTTGTGGCTTGTATATGCCATTTTTTTGTATATTTCATAATCTAGCAAAGGAATGTTTTCCTCTCCATAATTCCATTTAAGTGCATTATTTTTTCTTAACTTCTGTTCTCCTCTTGTCCTTTAGCTTGCTTCCAAGAATTAGTATCTTCTCAGATCAGTTTCCAAGCTTTTTTTTTTCAAATTTATTTGTTAGAAACAACTCACTTTTGACAAGTATACTTTTCCACTGTGTTTAGTTGTTGAACAGCAGTTCTTGTTTTTCTTCATTTTTTTCCATCATGCTGGTGTATTAACTGTGCTTGTTAGCAGATTTGGGTAATTAGTAGTATTTGCTGATTGATAAATCAACAGCCCTATTAATCGATTAAATTTGATCAATCATTAGTACATTGTTCCTTAAATCATGGTATATCAAGCAAAAACAAAAGTGGGTCATAATTTTGATTAATCAGTTGTTGAAATAATTGAAAATTGTAATATTCTGAAACAAATTTTGGTTAATAGATCTAATTATAATTTTGAATAATCGATTAGTTTACAGGACTAATAAGTGTAATCACTGCTCATAGATAATCTCTACATCAATTAATCAGTTAAGTCATCCACCTCTACATGTGAACATTCTTCATTCATCTTGATCTCATTTAACTTAGGTAATGAGTGGTCTTTTTGCTTGCTGATCTCTGTGAACCATTGTTGTGAGTAGTTTTCAGACAGATTTGCGAGGTCTTTCTTGACCTTATTAAACTGGGTCTTGTGATTGCAGTTGTGTCTTCATTATCTTTTAACTGTTGAGACATGGTTTTAACTGTCAGAATTCCCATGGTCCTGGAAATCCTTGAAAAAGTTTAAAAAATTTTTAATGTCACTTTAGGATCTGGAAATTTTATGGAAGATATTTGGAAGGGTTTTGAAATTTATACAAGTTCACCCAAAAAACGTTAATGAAGTTTAAAGATAAGTAAACAGTTTTAAAACATCAGTTATCAACTATTTTGCCATGTGTGCATGTGCACATTATTGTCACAGATGCTGCACTATCACCATGTTTTAATTGATCTGTTGATAACGTGATTTAACCAGATAAGTTGCTGTTTTTGTTTTAAATGTATTGTTAAACAATTCAAGTTTGATTATAAGATTATAAAAATACTAATATTTGTATTAAGAGAATACAATTTTGTATGATACATTACACTCTATAGGGTTTATAGGCATGTAGTATGAATAGGCTAGAGTTTAAATCATTTGTATGAATCAGACATTAGTACAACTTGTGTTACAATTTAACATGTCAAATGTAATATCTAGGCCTAATGTGTTAAATAGATCTAGATCTAGTGTAGATCTGGATTTACATTATAATATAGTAAATATTGTTAAACCAATATGACTTTAGGCATCTAATTAAATCTGCACAGATAGATATAGACCTAGCATTTAGTGCTAAAGGTGTGATCAGCTAACAATAGGTGCATTAATCTGTTTAGAAGGTTTTCTTGGGAGTAAAGACATTATTCATGAAAACTGAAAATAGTTAAGTTCTCAGCTAAAGTATCTTTCAGATGAACAGTTATGATATGTGATTTTATTCTTTCTTTCTTTCTTTTTTTTATATGTAATAATGTGTTTGAATATTTCTGTAATGTGTTGTGTGTTTCAGAGTAAAATAACTGTAAACAGGAATATTGAAGACTTGTACTTCAGAACAAGTAATTGAAAATTATCTATTTTAGAACATTAGACTTAATACATCTGAATACTTTTTCAACAGCTCCAAACACTGTTTGTGGTGCAGTCAGAGTTATGAATTGTGTAACAGGAGAGAGAGAACTAATCAAAGGAATGAAGGGACAGGTTGTGGACCTCTGCTTTGCTCATTCCTCACCACAGGTTTTACTGGCATGTGTTGATGAGACAGGATGTATGTTTGTATACGAGATTCTAGAAGAAAATGAAAAGCTACAGTATCCTTGATAAAGTTTGAAAATATTTTATAAACCTTTATTTTGTAAAAAATATATAAAGTTTGTTTTGTGATCCTTTATTTTAACTTGTTTCATATGGATTTATCTTTCCAGCTATGCACTATATATATATATATAACATTGGAATCAGAATTACGTGCTTGTAGAAGATGGTTGTTTTTATGGTACTGAAGTTGTAGGTTATATAAAAGTTATTGACAAGTTTTTCCACCATAATAAAGTCAATTAAATAAATAAACTTGACATAATTCTCCAAATATATTTTAAAATAATTTATAGGCTTCAGTGAAATGTAAAAGTAAGATTTTTAATCTATTGTTTCTTGTATGCTATCTAAAGTGAAGCTAAATCTTTGTAAATTTAAGTAGGTTTTAAAAAGTGATGGTTGTATACAGACTGATATAATTGATTACTTATGAGCATGATTACATCAGTGTCACGTAAAATAATCAGTTAAATGAAACTATGAATAATTTGATTAATGTCACAAAAATAATAAACTATTTAAAATTATTGTTTTCAATTATTTGAACTATCCAAATAATAGAAATATTGCCGTTATAATTTCTGTTTACCATTTTTGAGTATTTCAATGTTTTTCAGCTGAATGGTTAGTGTCATAACTCCTGAAAATAATCTTTAATCTAAATTATTATTTCCAATGATTACAATTTTGGTTATTTCAACTAACCACATCTAATGTGAAAATAACTGATTAGGTGACATTAATCAGTTGATGAGATTGTGACTAATTGATTATAAAATTTCACAAATTACCCAGCATTGTGTAGTACACAGAGACTAGGTGTTAGTTATAAAGTAAATTAATCATTACTTTTAATAGTTGAAGAACATTGTAGTACAGTGGTACAGTTTATTTTTACTAAAAATTTTCCCAAAAAGTACCTTTGTATCTTTAAAATTACCTTAGACAAAAAATTTTAATATTATTTTACCGTATAACCGTACCTTTCTATAGTCAATTTCTTGACCAATCTAGATGCAAATTAATGCTGCAGGTTGATCGTACTGAAGAACCAAAACCTGGTGACATCCATCGGGTGATTTGGTGCCCCTTCATTCCTGATGATCCTGGTGTTAGTGAAGATATTGAAGAAAGCATCCTAGAGGACAGTTCCAAACTCTTGGTTCTTACCCACAATGAACAAGTACGGTTAAAATTGCCAGTAATTTTTAAATTTTATGAAGACAGGATTTTTTTAATGACTGGCATTATATTAAAATGTTATTATCAAGTTTTAAAATATATATAAAAAAGAAAGATTAAAGGTTTACACAGAATGGTGAATTTTGGCTAAGCAATTCAGAACTTTTGGTTTTTACTCACAATGAACAAGCAAGTTTTTAATTTAAAGCTGTTAAATAATGTACAATTTTTATGTAGTTAATGTATGAACAATATTTGAAATACATAGAAGTGTGTAAGTAAAAGTCATATAATAAATATTCTCTGAATAATCAAAATATAACATCTAAAACTTTTAATAGATAATTAGTTACACTTGGATAAAAATAAAGAACATTTTAGAGTAATTGCATATAAAAATTTAAGCATTTATGATCAAATTAAGAAAAATTCAGAAATAACTAGTGGTTATATATCTCTGTTTTTAATTTTTAACAATTAACCATGAAAAACATCTGGATTTATTAAGATTAACTCAAAGCTATAGTGGGCAGAAGTTTCTAGAGAAGGACTGCTTGACTCATCTACAGGGTTGAGTGCATTCTTTTAAAATGATTTTGAATATGCAAATCAGCAAGTCATGGACAACCATAGCTGATATAAATATGATGTAGAATGGCAGGTATCAAGAAAAACATTCTGATATTTTTAGCATTTCGTAAGTAGTGTGTTGTCATCACAAATTTATCATAAAATATGCATACACTAAGATCATAAAGATGTATGCAGGCTAAGAACTTAAAATTTCAAAGATAGTGATATCTGTTATACTTTAACTCTCTCAATATGGGCTCGGTTAATTTGACCGACCAAGTGACCTTTTTGTACTCGTTTAAAGTCTTTGTAGATTTAATACTTATAACTCTCAATATAATGTGTATATCTTCACAAAATTTGGCAGTCTTTCAGTTAACATTACAAGTCTTTCACATACAAAAAATAATATTTTTAGTGAAGTATTTTTAATAAAATAATGATTTGTCCATGAATATATTGAGTATTTGTTTTGAATAGTCCGTGTGCAAAATAATTTTCATGTTAAAGCTAAAAAAATACTTTTCCTCATCTCAAAAAATTCAAATTTCCTTTGTGTAATCTCTAAAATCTCCTAAATGCATTTCAAAGGTTTTTTCAGTAAAACTTTATATTTTGTCTGTTATTTTCTCTATACAGGGTTAGTCAAATTTACCAACCTCACAACCACCAAAAAAAAAATCGAAATAAATCTAAATTACCCTTTTTCTTTCTAGAATGACTTCAGATTGTAACATGAAACTACGTTCGTATATTCTAAGTAGCTCTAAGTTTGTAACAGTATACATCTATTTATAGTTGAATTTTATTGCTCTTTGAACCATGTTTAACTACTATCCGCACCATTATAAGTTGTAAATCACTCGTGGGAATGTGCATCTCATGTTATGCTTTCGTATTACATTATCCATGAGCTGCTAGCGTGCGTGCACGCCTCGTGAAACATTTTAATTATATTATTATTATTACTTATTTTACCTAATCTAGTCCTAATTAGCTTAAAAAGATCTGTATTTTTAGATTTTAGTTACTTTTATAATAATAGATAAAGAATAAATATGAAAAACAAGAAATAAAGTACTTAACCAATCTTCTTTTCTCTCGCTCTCGATTGTCAAGGACAGTTAAGCCTAATTTTTTTATAGTATTGATAGTAATGCACTTGATTATATTTATTTAATTAAATAATGCACCAAAGAATATAGACTAATAAAATGCAAAAACTAAACAAATTCGCCTACCTCCCAAAATGGCTTTCTAACTATGCGACAAGAACTGTTTCAAAGTAATTCAAGCTAGTCGTTAACTTTCCCACAGGAACAATTTTGGTACTCTGAGTAAAATTGAAATCTAATTGTTCAGAACATAACGTTATATAATAAGTCATTTGATAGATGACAATCTTGACTTTCTATTGGTTATAGGTAATATATAATGAAACGTAAGAGAGAGCTATCAATGAATTGTGAAAGAGAGGATGTGGCAGGAGGGGTCTGATTTTCTCTTCGATAGCTGTGTAACCAAAAAAAATTCAAGACTATAAAAATTATGGTTTGTCTGAGTAACAATGATTTTATAGAGTAATTTACGTTTAATTTTCTACATTTTTGAGGGGTGGTGGATAAAATAGGGATGGTGACATGCTAAGAGAATGTCATATGGGTCATACTAGTGGAGATTCAGGATTTTTTTAAATATTGCCTTGTAGAATTAAGAATTTAAAACTTGTAGTCTATTAACATATGGAATATTAGCTAAGATTTTATGCTATTCTAATTGGTATAATGTAAACAAAAAGTATTAGGTCATCAAGAAATTAATGTTGCTTTTTTTTAGATGAAAAAAATCCGAACAGCTTATATATCAAAACAAAGCACTTATTAAATGAAATAGTGTCCATTCTTATCAATGATGCTTTTCCATCTTACAATCAGGTTGTTAATGATCTGATTAAAGAAATCACTTGACTTTGAAGCAAAAAAATATGTCAATGTCCTTTTTAATACCTTCCTCATTTGCATACGTTTTCCCAATAAGATGGTGTTGCAAGGAATGAAAAGATGGTAATCTGATGGTGCCATATCTGGAGAGTATGGTGGGTGGGGGAGAACTTCCTAACCCAACTCCATAATCTTATGTTGGGTCAAACGTGCCACATGTGGATGTGTATTGTCTTGAAGAACACTTTCTGATTGATAAGTGAAAGGTGTTTCTGATAAAGGGCTTGATTTAAACATTCCATTTGCTGACTATAGATTTCTGCATTGACAGTTCGCTATGGATTGAAGAGTTTGAAATGAATTACCTCTTTGATGTCTTACCAAATGCAAAGCATCACTTTCTGCAGATGGAGTCCATATTTTAGGGTCAGAAGTGGTTTTTGACTAGGACTGAGCCTTTTTTTTTTTGGGCATTTAATATTCGCATAGAGAGTCCATTTTTCATCATCAGTGACAGTTCTGTCCAAAAATGGTTCACGTGCCAAAAGAGATGAAGTAACATTCACACATGGGAAACGATGATCATCGGAGAGTTCGTGAGGCT